ATTACAATTCATCTATTTGACGTATATAATTCATTGGTTTTTAGTATATTCGTGGAATTGTACAAACATTACCAAAATCAGTTCTAGAATATTTTTATCACCCTTCACACCAAACCTTTGTACCTGTTAGCAGTCACTTCCCACTCCCCTTCCTGCCCTCCCATCCCCTTGCAACACAAATCTACTTTCTGTACCTAGAGATAGCAAACTCCTCTTAAACCAAGACTCTAACTATACCTTCCTTCCCTTAAGGGTAAAGTTCCTCCTTAGGTCTTTCATTTGTTAACTATTGCTGAAGAACAAATTAACCCAAAATTTAGCAGCTTAAGGCAACATACATTTATTTTCTCACAGTTTTTGTGAAGTAGGAATGCAGGTACTACTGGACCTGGGTCCTCAGCTCCAGGATCTCACAAGGCAGCAGTGTTGGCCTGGGCCGCTTTTTTTTTTTTATATAACAAATTTATTTTTTATTGGTGTTCAATTTGCCAACTTACAGAATAACACCCAGTGCTCATCCCGTCAAGTGCCCCCCTCAGTGCCCATCACCCATTCACCCCCACCCCCCACCCTCCTCTCCTTCCACCACCCCTAGTTCGTTTCCCAGAGTTAGGAGTCTTTATGTTCTGTCTCCCTTTCTGATATTTCCCACACATTTCTTCTCCTTTCCCTTATATTCCCTTTCACTATTATTTATATTCCCCATATGAATAAGAACATATACTGTTTGTCCTTCTCCGATTGACTTACTTCACTCAGCATAATACCCTCCAGTTCCATCCACGTCGAAGCAAATGGTGGGTATGGCTGAGGAATATCCCATTGTATACATAGACCACATCTTCTTTATCCATTCATCTTTCGATGGGCACCGAGGCTCCTTCCACAGTTTGGCTATTGTGGACATGGCTGCTAGAAACATCGGGGTGCAGGTGTCCCGGCGTTTCATTGCATCTGAATCTTTGGGGTAAATCCCCAGCAGTGCAATTGCTGGGTCGTAGGGCAGGTCTGTTCTTAACTCTTTGAGGAACCTCCACACAGTTTTCCAGAGTGGCTGCACCAGTTCACATTCCCACCCTTTTCTCCGCATCCTCTCCAACATTTGTGGTTTCCTGCCTTGTTAATTTTCCCCATTCTCACTGGTGTGAGATGGTATCTCATTGTGGTTTTGATTTGTATTTCCCTGATGGCAAGTGATGCGGAGCATTTTCTCATGTGCATGTTGGCCATGTCTGTGTCTTCCTCTGTGAGATTTCTCTTCATGTCTTTTGCCCATTTCATGATTGGATTGTTTGTTTCTTTGCTGTTGAGTTTAAGAAGTTCTTTATAGATCTTGGAAACTAGCCCTTTATCTGATACGTCATTTGCAAATATCTTCTCCCATCCTGTAGGTTGTCTTTGAGTTTTGTTGACTGTATCCTTTGCTGTGCAAAAGCTTCTTATCTTGATGAAGTCCCAATAGTTCATTTTTGCTTTTGTTTCTTTTGCCTTCGTGGATGTATCTTGCAAGAAGTTACTGTGGCTGAGTTCAAAAAGGGTGTTGCCTGTGTTCTCCTCTAGGATTTTGATGGAATCTTGCCTCACATTTAGATCTTTCATCCATTTTGAGTTTATCTTTGTGTATGGTGCAAGAGAGTGGTCTAGTTTCATTCTTCTGCATGTGGATGTCCAATTTTCCCAGCACCATTTATTGAAGAGACTCTTTCTTCCAGTGGATAGTCTTTCCTCCTTTATCGAATATTAGTTGACCATAAAGTTCAGGGTCCACTTCTGGGTTCTCTATTCTGTTCCATTGATCTATGTGTCTGTTTTTGTGCCAGTACCACACTGTCTTGATGACCACAGCCTGAAATCTGGCATTGTGATGCCCCCAGCTATGGTTTTCTTTTTTAAAATTCCCCTGGCTATTCGGGGTGTTTTCTGATTCCACTCTGTTGAGTTCTGTTCTAACTCTCTGAAGAAAGTCCATGGTATTTTGATAGGGATTGCATTAAACGTGTAAATTGCCCTTGGTAACATTGACATTTTCACAATATTAATTCTGCCAATCCATGAGCATGGAATATTTTTCCATCTCTTTGTGTCTTCCTCAATTTCTTTCAGAAGTGTTCTATAGTTTTGAGGGTATAGATCCTTTACCTCTTTGATTAGGTTTATTCCTAGGTATCTTATGCTTTTGGGTGCAATTGTAAATGGGATTGACTTCTTAATTTCTCTTTCTTCAGTCTCATTGTTAGTGTATAGAAATGCCACTGATTTCTGGGCATTGATTTTGTATCCTGCCATGCTACTAGTGGGCTGCTGTCTTATCTGAAAGCTTAACTGGGGAAGGATCTGCTTCCTATCCAAATAGGAAAACTGAGTCCTATTAATAGCCTCATACTCAGGCCAGAGTTTTTGTAGTTTGTTCTCTTTTGGACGATGGCTAGAAGGTTGCTTTCTTCCTTAAAGATTCTACAGAATTTTAGTAGCAGAAATCCAGAGCAAACTAACTTCAGCAAGAAAAGGGAATTTGAAAAAAAAAAAAAAGAAAAGAAAAGGGAATTTGCTGGCTCACATAACTAGGAGAAGTACCATGTGGCTCACAGGATTAAAGGAGCTGTAGAACTATAGGGGCTACAACCAGTGGCTCAGAGCAGGGAGCTCTCCTTCTAGGTCTTCTTGGCATCACCACCATCTTCATGCCTCTCACTTTATTGGTCTCATTCTCTACTGCTGTAATCATACCTTGGTATGTGACCTTTAGTCTTTGAGCCAGAAGAGAGAGGATTGGGTAGGTGTTTACTCCCAGAGCTAAGAAGATGGAGTACAACACTAGGCCATCTATGGATTACATGGCCACATTCCTGTTGCCAGAAGAAGGACCATGAAAAACCAACAGCCTCTATTGTCCATGGCAGACCAACTATGTAAGTGACTCCTGACATACTGGAGATCCCAAATAGGATAAGACAATGCCGTCATCTATGATAAGGCCCTGTCTGGGAACTGTGCATTGAACAGATTTTTTTTTTTTTGCCAATGTTTTTTATGAGTCTTGGGGTTTATTTTATTTTAGCCAAGGTCCAGTGTCTTAATCTGCTGGAAAAATAGGGTCACACTGAATTTTTCCATTACAGATTTCACTTGTTCCATGACTCCTTGACAGTTGGGAAAAATTTTTTTGGTAGAGACATGAAGGCCAGGGATGACAAGGAAAATAGCTGTGCATTTCATAGTCTTATGACCAAAGTTAAATTATAATAACAAAAGAGACCAGAGCTTTTTATATACTGTTACTTTCTGTGATTTATGAGCAGATTGTTTTTTAACATCTCAAGTAAGGAATGATTTGTCAAGTTCATGAAAACCACATGTATTCAGAGACTCATTAATTTTAGTACCAGAGGCAGGTCTTGCTTTTAGACCCATATAAATATGGATTGAGATCAAGGTCTGTCAGACTTGACTTTTAGGAGATGTAATATGGTTCTCCCCCAAATATATATATTGACACTGCAGTTACCCTAGTGATTCTTCTAAAGAAGTGCTATAGTGAGCTCTCTAAAAACTCATTCTGTCCTGGTACAATTCACAATTGTTCAGGGATGTACTCACAGCTGATCACTTGTTCTTTGCCAGTTCCTTCTGGAGGGCCCTGTATGTTCTAAGTGCTAGAAGCAATAGTGCAAGATAATCTGCCTAAGCCTGCCTACCTAGAGCTTGGTTTTGAGTTCTCCCCCTAAGTAAGGAAGCAGCTCACTTTTAAATTTAGATTAGGACCCAATATTAAGGATGATAGTGGGGTGTAGAGAAGTACAGATAAAACCTACCTGGTATCACCCAGAGGCATAGTGGTTAGGAACTCAATTCTTGGTTCTGATACACTAGAGTTTGGCTCTTAGCAAAGACACCTCCTAGCTTTGTGACACTGGGAAATTAGTTAACTTCTTTAAGCCTTGATTTTCTCATCTATAAAATGGGGCTAATAATAATAATCTAAACCCTATATGATTGTTTGAAGTGTTTTTAATAAGGTAATCCAAGCAAGACATTTAGCATTGTGTGAGCATATTGCTGTGAAAACACTAGAGTAGTTGTAATAATCTCAGGAATCGTAATTTTTGGGTGGTCCCTGTGTGTCTCCTTTACACCGTGTTTTATAACCTCTCCCAAGTCTTCATACAAAGAGCAATCCACTGGCACCACGTGGGGGGCAGCATGGGGACTTTGGCAGAGACCAGGCTGACTTGGGTTTATATACAGGATTTAGCTCTCAGAGTTCCAATTTCTCAACTGCAAAGTGAGCTAATACTACCTGCTCTGAGGCTTAAAAATAATATATTTAAGTGTTGGCAGATAATAAGCTCCACTTAGAGTGGGTTTAAAAATTTCACTACCTGGCCATCTTTGCCATCCCAAGTCATAGTGATGGTGTAAGTGGGGATCTTGAGGAGGCAAATCTCAGTTGTCTCTGCCATCAGTTTTATTTTCATTCTTACTGGTCCTGAGTCACACTTCACTGCTTTTAGGTCTGGCCTGATTTCGTTCAAACCAAGGCCTATGGAGCCATGATAAGGGCACTGCCTTTTAGAAATATGGCCTTCGTATAACACTCTTCCTGGCGTGGGTGCCAGCGACAGGCAACACAGAGATCAATCTCAGCTCCACAGAGTGGGCATGTAAGACTGAGTGACAAATACACACTAATGTGATTATGACTTTGCATCAAAACTGTCATGGAGCATTAGCAAATAAAAGATTTGTTCGATAGAGAAAAAATGACAGTCAAAGGTCAAAGTTCCTTGAGGAAAGTTCTCTCCACATCTGCCTGGTATGGGAAAGCTGCAAATCAACAAAAAGGCTGCATTTCCCCCAAGTTATCAATTCTTCCTTCACATTGCAGATTCTTCTCCTCCCACCGTTTCCCATGGGTCCCTATGCAGTAAAGAAAAAAAGCATGGGGGATGTGTTGAAGCTTGGAGACATTTGTTGACATTCTCCCTACTTGTGTCTTGCAGCCTACTTCTGCTTCCTCCTGACTGCTCTGGGCATCACAGCTGGTGCCCATCGCCTGTGGAGCCACAGATCTTACAAGGCCAAGCTGCCTCTGAGGATATTCCTGGCTGCTGCCAACTCCATGGCTTTCCAGGTGGAGATGGAGGGTCCTGCCTGCCTTAGGGCACTAGCACAGAGGGCACCACAGGAGAAGGCATAGACCTGCCCCCTGTGGGGCAGTCATTCCTCCAGCCCCATGCCTGCCTCACTGCTCAGGTTCCCAAGCATCTGTGGTCCGTCCTGAATGTTTGTCTCCTTATAGCTTTAGATATGGTAAAATGTCCCCTCGGGGCTTTGCATCCCTAGGAATACTAAACCACTTAGGATGAAGGAGATACCTCCACCCAAAGCCCATGCCCTGAAACCCTCCACATTTGTCCGGCTCTAACCGGGTCCAAGTTCTGTGCTGAGCATGCTCTCTGCACATTGCATTTGACCCTTACATAACCCCATGAACTTGGTGTTATATATGTCCTCGTTTTACAGGTGAGGGACCAAAGTTTAATGACATTAAAGAACTTGACAGATTATTTGGCTAAAAGTGATACATCCAGGATAGGCAAATGTAGGTATGACTCTAAAGCCACTGCTCCTAGAAAACATCCCTGAGGTCACCCTATAAGTTTGTGGTAGAGAGAGGTCTATTGAATATGGTCCTGGATCATTAGCTCTACTTGATGTTATATTATTATGTAAGCATTTGGTTTGTTCACCTTTATATCCTCATTCCTAAAACTCCATTAGCACACAATAGTGTTGGCTCGAGTATAATGCATATACGAATGAAATTTTAAATACAAAATATTTTAAACTCAAAAAAAAATATGATGCTGGAAGACAGGATTTGAGTCTCACTCTGATGATTGCTGGCTGCTGTGAATTACTTACTCATTTCCAGTTTCTTCATCTGTAAAAATCAGAATATGACTTCTCTCCCAGAGTTGTTATAAAATCATTGAAAATTGCAGGGAACTCTAAAAGTGTAACAGAGGATCATTGCTGTGCTAGGATTGGGCCAAATCCATTAGGACTATTCCAATAGTAGAACATTCCCCGCCACCTTTGGGACTTTCAGAGCTGCTGGAGTTTGAGTTGATTATGGATTTCTGTTCTCCTAGTTCCTCATCTGATCCAGGTAAGGTGGGTGGGAACAACTTACTTTCAAAGTTTCTGCTGAGACATGAATGCAGATAATTCTGGGCCCCATGCATTTTCACTCATATGGAAGAGATGGCAATTCTCAAAACTGCTTCAGGGTCCAGGGAAGCAGGCAACCCCAGAGCCTGTCTGTGACCTTCAGATGTGCAAGTCACGTGGCCACCTCTGCAGGGGGCCTCCCACCCCTACAAGATGGCCTGACCCTGAGTGTTTCCTCAAGTCGTTCGTATGTCTAAGGATTATTTCCCTGTTTTCCTCCCACAGTTTGAGCCTTTATGAGGCACATGGGCTGTAACACAATAGATTGCTCAGGGAACACAGTTCATATAATGGATATCTACTGGTTATAATTCAAGCACAGTTGGGAATTAGTACCAGGGTTCTAGGGAAAAAGCTCTTGTGCACAAAGGAGTAGCTTGCAGCTTCTTGGTTGTATGTTCTTTTCTTCACCGTTGGTAGTACAAGTGAGAGCATAGTTTATTTTGACTTCAACCATCTTAGTTCAATTCTGTGCTTTGTTTATCACAACAATGAGTTATGATAATGATAATTTAGAAACTCTTTTGACTTGGGTCTTGAATGCTATTTAGGACTTAACTTGGTAATTTTCATGTGTTTTGTTTGAGCAATTTTTTATTTCTAGCCTTCAAGTACTCACTTTTGATGTGGTTTTAAAGCACCTCTATTATTAAATTTTTTCCCCACATAAGTAACTTGCAATTGAGAACATAAAATTCTTCTCTTTTCCCCATGAAACTATTTATTTACAACTCAATTTCTGATAAGCTAAGTTTCCTTAACATAGTATCACATAGCAGAACATCACACTGTGATTTTAACTTTACTCTGGGGAGATAGTACATCACAGAGGGAAGTACCCAGGTCCTGGAATAAATTCTTGGCTTTGTCATTTGCCAGATGTGGGTCTTTGTGCAAGCCTCTCTTCCCTTATATGCAAAGGCAGGGGGGTAAAAGTAATATTTACCTCACAGGATTGCTAGAAGGACGATATCATGAATAAAAAGTGCCCAACCTAAAGCTATACTCGGTAAATACTGTTCCCCTTCTTCTTTATGAGAATCAGCATACTGTCTCATTCATTTTTGTGTTTTGGTCCCTATCATGTAGAAGGCTTACTCAATGACAGCTTGCTAAAAAAATGAGAAATGAATGAATGATTTTAAAAAGTATTTTTAGAAATCAACAAATTTGAATGATGCATACTTTGTCCAGGCCCACATGTATGCTGGAATTTTTTTCATTCATTTAACAAATGTTTACAGAGCACCTACTCTATGCTAAGCACTGAGCTAGGCACAGTGGGCATAATGATTAGCAAACATAGTCACGATCCTTGCCTTCATACAGCCTTCCATCTAGTGGAATATTAGAATTCTTACAGTTTTCCATTGGAAATGTCAGTACTTCATGGGTCTGAGGTTTATAACAGTGTCGCTTAGAACTAGGTGAGAGTTTCGAGACCCCTGGGTGGCTCAGTTGGTTAGGCATCTGCCTTTGGCTCAGATCATGATCCCAGGGTCCTGGGGTAGAGTCCTATATCAGACTTTCTGCTTGGTGGGGAGCCTGCTTCTGCTTCTGCTTCTCTCTCTGCCCCTGCTTGTGTTCTCTCTGTGTGTCAAATAAATAAATAAAATCTTAAAAAGAAGAAGAAGAAGAAGAAGAAGAAGAAGAAGAAGAAGAAGAACAAGAAGAACAAGAACAACTAGATGGGAAGTATGTAAGATTAGCATTGGGCCAGCTTCCATACAGTGCATATCTGTGTCAGTGGGACAGAATACAGTCGATCCCGACCACTTAACCCTGGGGAAAGAACAACCTGGGAAAGTAAAAATGTGCTGTGATCTGTCCATCTAGGGTGCTGACCTGCAACCTTGATTTAATGCAGAGTCATTGATTTAGTTTCCCTTTGATGTCCTCGTGGGTTTTTAAAGATAATTTCAAGGATTCTCCTGTGCTTTCTTCGATCAGAATGGTCATGCCTCTGGCCAAAATGGACAGTCAATGCCATGGTTCTGTATTTGAAGATGAGCAGGGCTTTTGCTAGAAGCTGAATGAGATCTTCAAGAACAATTTACTTAACACAGGAACTTAAACATTTGAGATTCTCTCTTCCGTTTCTTCTGCAAAGGATGTATGTACATGGGGCAGGGGTAATAGTGGGAAAGGTGGAAGTTTAGTCTGAAAAGATGACAATGGGCCAGGAATGCAAGACAAGGAGCTCTGGTAATCCTCTCTCCCTTATATTCAGCAGAGACTCCCTGAGTTCCTCTCTGGCCCATTCTCCTTCCTGATCAGTAGGATACAATTCAACCTAAATATGATTTGCAAATTCCTTATCATTTTCTGCTAGTCAAATATACACCCAAGTGAGATATTCCTGCCATCCAGTAGTCTCCAAGAGTTCAGTTTTTGCAAGCAGTAGCCAGACTTTGGGTTTGTGTTTTCATACTCATGCACACACCCCTTCTGGCTACAGGTAGGTCTCTCATGAACTCAGTCCAAAAGCATCTGATAGATGCTGCAATTTCCTCTCTGCCTGCCCAGATTTCTCATCAGATCCTAGTACAAAGGCTTTGTATTTTGAACTGGAAGAGAGGTTAAGGGATTCGGTCTAAATCCTCTTATTTTGCAATAAAGGGCAAGGAGAAGGGTAAAGAGAGGCCCAGAGAATGTCAGTGACTTGTGAAAGGTCACACAGCTGGTGGGTGGATAGACCAGACTGCATCCTGTCTCCTGACCCTCAGGCCAGGGAGCCTTAGGCTCACCCATGGATGTTTTTGGGTGATGGCCAACAATGTGATCAGTGAACAGCTCATAGTTGGCTCTTGTTTTGTTTTGTTTTGTTTTAATCCACTGTGACATCCTGTCTTTTATTTTTTATTTTTAAGATTTTATTTATTTATTCATTAGAGACACAGAGAGAGAGAGAGAGAGAAAGAGAGAGAGGCAGAGACACAAGCTGTGGGAGAAGCAGGCTCCATGCAGGGACCCCAACGTGAGACTCGATCCCGGGTGTCCACGATCACACTCTGAGCTGAAGGCAGGCACTAAACCACGAGCCACCCAGGGATCCCCGACATCCTGTCTTTTAACTGGTGTGTTTAAACTATTTACACTTAAAATGATTACTGATGTAGTTGGGTTAATATCCACCGTGTTTCTGTTTGTTATTCATTGACTTTGTTCTTTGTACCTTTTTTGTCTTCCCTGGTTTTAACTGTTCATTTACATGATTCTATTTTCTCTCCCCTTTTAGCATATCAACTATACTTCTTTACAATTGTGTAGTGCTCGCTCTAGAGTTTGCAATATACATTTAGAACTAATCCAAATCCACTTTCAAATAACATTATAGCACTTCCCAGTACTACAGCAACCTTGTAACAGAGCATTCCCAATTCCTCCTCCCTGCCCCCTAGGACATCCCTGTCATTAAGCTATGATCACCAAATACATTGTTGCTATTATTATTTCAAACAAACTACCACCTGTTAGATCGATTAAGAATAAGAAAATTTGAAGGGGGCACCTGGGTGACTCAGTCTGTTAGGTGTCTGACTCTTGGTTTTGGCTCAGGTTATGATCTCAGGGATGAGAGATTGAGAACTGGGTCAGGCTCCATGCTCCATGCAGAGTCTGCTTGAGATTCTCTGCCTCTGCCTCTCTTCTCCTTCTCCCCCCACAGTTCATGCATGCGCATGCTGGCATTCTCTCTCAAATAAATAAAGTCTTAAAAAAAATAATAAAAATTGAAGGTTTTATTTTACTTTCATTTATTCATTCTCTAAAGCTCTTCTTTCTTTATGTAGACCTGGGTTTCTAACAATTCCCATTTTCCTTCTCTCTAAAAAACTATCATTTCTTGCAAGGCAGGTCTATTGGTAACAAATTTCCTTTAGTTTTTGTTTTTCTGAG